TACGTACGTAATGGGAAACACGCAAACGCGAGACACGAAGGTGAGCGCGCCGGGCTGCTGCTGCTCCCTGAACGATTGCGGACAACGTCGTCGTCGTCCGTTGATACATCAGCGAGAATCAGCGCACGGCCGGTCGCCCAGCGGGACCCAACTACTGCGAAACCCGTTAACGCCGCTAATGAATTCGGACGTCGCGGCTTCATCGAAACATCTCTCTCGCTGGACGTGCGGCCCGCTACCCGCGAGAGTTCGTTCGACGTAGAGACAGTTTCGCGCCGGCCACAATAGGAACTCCGCGGACAATCAAAGGTGGCGGACACTCGGTCGGGGTCGGATAGTGATGCGCCGTCGTCCGGAAGGAATGTATTTAATTAATGTATGCGAGCAACGACTGTGGAATACGCATGGATATCGAGATATCGTGTACACGTGTGCTTGGCCACGTGCGCGCCTCTATATATGCGTGCACGTATATATATGTGTATGTGTGTGAAAAGCTGTCGAATTCGCCGCGAAATTTGGCGGGTTTCGCGTCTGCGAACGCCCCGTTATCCCGAGGAAAGACAGCGTTTGCAATTTCCGGTATGTCTCGCGCGCGCGCGAGGGAGACATACCGAGGGCATTGACGAGATTCTGGCGAGCGGCCCGAAATCTGCACCAAAATTCCGCCTCGACCGTGCGAGACGAGTGCCTTCCGAAAACACCCTCTTTACGATCACCTCGCTCTCGTTTCCGCACCCCCCTCGTCCACACGGTCCATCGTAGGCGGAATCGTGAGCTTACGAGAGAAGGGCGTAGACGTTTCCGAGACTACAACTGTCGGAGGAATCCTCGGCAACGAGAGGAGCGAGGTAAAACGTAATCGGGATCCTGCCCGCCACCCGACACCCTGCGCGGTACATGGGGAACTTGGAATGATTTCGAGCGTGGAGTTTCGGGTTCTGCCTTATGCTACTCTCGGATGCCATCCGACTGACAAGAGAGAGAGGGAAAGAAAGAGGGAGAAGGAGAGAGAGAGAGAGGCAGCTTGCACAGTCGGTGGAAATATTACCTAACGTTTCGAGTTATCGCGCCGCGAGCTTAGTAATTACACGCTTTCGAGTAATATCGCGGCAACTTCTCGCCCTGTCACGTACTTTGACCTGGATGGAGATTTTTCCTCCCGCCGCTTTATCGGTAACAAAAGCTGACGCGCGTGCACGAAGATCGAATAAAACAGCGTATACGTGTTTTTCAATAAGATTGCGCGAAGTAGACTTACGAGGGCAGTCCGATAAGTACTTAGCCTACAAAAGAAAAACGAAAATTTTGGAAATTTTGGCGATTTACTTCTCCGTGGCGGCGATGACCTCCTCATTTGGCCAAATTGGTCGAATTGGACTACGAACTGCTGCCCCATCCACCGTATTCTCCAGATTTGGCCCCATGCGACTTTTTTTTGTTTCCAAACTTGAAAAAGTCACTCGCCGGGCAGAAATTTGAGTCGAATGAGGAGGTCATCGCCGCCACGGAGGCCTTTGCAGACTTCGAGAAAACGTATTTTTCAGATGGGTTAAAGAAGTTGGAGCATCGCTGGGTCAAGTGTATCGAGCTAAAAGGAGACTATGTTGAGAAATAAATCGCCACTTTTCCAAAATTTTCGTTTTTCTTTTGTAGGCTAATTACTTATCGGACCGCCCTCGTAGATCGCCTGAAACGGGGGAATATAAATTTGACCAACGCTCCCCGCATCTTTCACAGTAGTCAATAACTAGCGATGAGCGATCGAAAGTTTGTCCGCGCTGCGAAAAGAACGTGACTTAGGAAACGAGTGACGAGCGAGCGTTGGTAGGTGGATCTGAGAAGAAGTCCGGGTAAAGTGAAACGGGAAAAAGAGACGTCCGTGTCGGCTGAAATTTTCACGGAGTCTGTTCGTGTTCGGTCGACGAGGAAGCACACGCGAACGAACGAGTACGATTTTAATTACCAGTTTTAGCCGGCTGGTCGACTCGACGGTGCAGAGG